TTTGTTCCCAGTGTTTCCCAAAAGTTGAATTCCATAGCTCCAGACTTAACTGTTACGAAATATTTTTCCAATTTTGATTAAGAGACCATTGTAAGAACTATCAAACGACTGGCAGAAATATTTTCTTTCTCCTACTGATTGGTGTATTTATTGGTATGTTCAATTAAATTGGTTTTATTCTCATCACCAGTAGCTGATTTAGTATTTTAGACACTATATGGAGCATTCGGATAGGTCATAGGTCAGGACATGGTATTCCTAGTACACCATTATATAACTGTAAGATAAAATGTCTTGTATAGATTCTATCATTGCCTTCAATAAATGATAATTTTTTTAAATGAATTTCGAGGAAAATACTGCTAGATTTTGTTTTCTACGTTGCCCTTTTGAGGGATATGTTCGAAAAATTTTTCAAGATATTCTGGAAAAATGTTAGTTTTATCTACATTATATTGATCGTCCAGAAAGTAAAGTCACAGTACCTTAGGGTATTTTTAAATGGGGTTACATTGGTTGTTAAGGCATTTATTGTACTGTGGAATCAGTTTTTTGATGGTAGTGTTGTAGTCTTTCACCACCAAATGTCTGAGCCAAGATACCAATTCATTTTTGAGCTCATTGTCGTTTCCACCCAAGAATTCCTTTAGTTTCGGGAACATATGATAATCGCGAGGTCTGGGCAGTAGGGAAGGTACTCGAACATTTTTAGTAGTAGACGGATATCTGCGTGCGATCATGACACTCTTTATTCTGTTTTATACGTTTTTGAAGGATTTCGCAATAGGCTTCTAAATGTACATCTCATTTAGCCGGGTTTTTAATGAACGCTTTCATTTTAAAATGTTATAGAACAAAGATGCGTGACCAGGCAGTGATGAGACGTGGCTCAAACTGATGCGACAGACAGAGGTAACTTGCGCCGAACAAAGCGAAGGTAGAGGATCGCCACAGCGTGTAATGCGCAATGGTTCTTTACTTTATGGCCGACCCACGTACTTTTGTCAATACGTTATCTTAGTGTAAATAGGGCTTTGAAGGGTTGAGAACGCTTCATTTTTTAGTTGCCTTCCAAAGCTATTAACTCGGTAGCTTCTGTGGCTGTAGGATGTTTAAGATGATAATACTATTATTTTTGAGGGTATTTAACAGGCCTTTTAACTGTGATGGTGTTATGTTGTTTTAAGATGTAAATTTGCCTTAATATTTGTAAACCCACCTTAACATTAGTGACATGTCAAATTGAAGAAGAAGCCCGGGAGTGAAAGAGAAGGACAGACATTGACAGTTGACATACTGGTCTTAGGGCTCTTTAGAGATAATTATGTATTAGTATTAGTTTGTTTTGTAATAAATAAAATATACAGAAATGAGTCGTTTATTATAACAAAAAGCTCACAGAGTAGAACAAACAGATGGAACAGATTCAGGTTTTGGTTTGTGTGATGCTCTTTTCAGTAGACATCTTCCTCTTAACCGTCGCTCTTCGATTTTTGAATATTGTGGGTGGATCATACATAGCACAGTTTGTTTTCCTGACTGCCGTTGATTCCGAAACAGCTTTCTGTATAGACTGACTGAGGTGCTCTGCAGCGTTTGTCTTGTTCTGGTTTTGATTTTTGTGAAATATTTATTTCTAGTTGATTTTTTAGTATAATAGTTCTTTAGTTTTAAAACGTGGTCGATGGCATCTGCCTTTACGGTTGTACCGTTTTCGCAAAAATGTTTACTATTTTTATTAAAAAAACTTCAATATTTACTTGACATTGTTGTTTTATACAAAAAACTGGATTAAAAATGGCAACAAGTGCTTCTTGTAATATTACATAATATACAGGGGTCCTAACAAAAATGATCTCTTGAACTAACACTTAAAGAAGAGGAGATTATACACAAAAAGACTTTGTATGTTTGATATATTTATTAAATAAACTTAAATTTTCAATAAGAAATGTACATCTTTGTGTTTTTAAGTTAGTAATATTTAGTAAGTACATTTATTAGGAGATACATTTAACGTATACCTATATGAATACATATATTCAAGTTGCAGATGAAAAAAACGTTCTAGAGGCGTCATCTTTGTCTCTTGAACACCCTGTAATAAAGGACGCTTTTCTTAGATCCCTTAGGATCTTGACGGTAAGAACATTGGGCGTATTTGCATCAATTTAATCAACATATGAAATTAGTAACTTTTCTCTTAACGAACAAAGTAAATTTATATTTTATTTTAAAACAAATAATAGTATCGTTTATGGAAAAGTTTTTAACAATCTTTCCGTGCCTTCTTACAATGTGCACTAAGCTGACCTGACGTACTTTCTGTTTGTTTGTATGAGGGTAATTTAATATTAACCTACTTTTTGATAAATTGCATTACATAAAACCAAATTCACACTTTGACATATGACACTTTGACATATGTCATGTCACGACTGTCAAGTCAAAATTTCAAACAAAAGAAACTATGTTTGGAGATTTGGTAATTAAAAAAAAGAAACATCACTATTTTCTTACGTCAAACAATCCTAGTACAGTTTCTTCTAATCATCAATCATGTAATAAACAAATACCAAGAGCAATCGTCCACTGAATATTCAAAAGATGGCACGATCACATAATATAGGAAATTTACAATATATTTGTACAATAGGCAACCTGTTTTACCACATGTATATATTATAATATGTTAGAATCAAATAAAAGTTCTATTGAAAATGAATAAATTTTTACACTTCTTTCCCATTCCAACTGGACTACATTTTTTTAGAGATGTTAATACCTATTAAAATAGTTAGCAACAAAAAGATATCTTCTGCATTTTTAATTTCATACGTTGATTTTACATAGTAAACAATAATAAATAAGTAATACTACACTCATAAAAATTTACATTCAGTACAGGAAATAAAACGAGTATACTTCAAGTATTTAATACAGTAAACGATATTATGTACACAATATGAGATTGATTTTGGCAAGCGTTTGCAAATAAAACAAAATTTTAATTCAGTATGTCATCAAACACTTTCATATAGTAGTAATTCTATTATCAGTTCGTTCGATAAAGTACAAATTTAATAAATAAAAGTTTTAAGGAACTGTAGCTTCTTTTCTGCAAACTTTTGCATTTATTTTCAATTACTATGATATACATGTTTTTGTACCGGAACTAAGAGTGCTGTAGTCACCGAAATTTCTTAATAAAGTGTTGGAATGCCTGACATTTCAATGGAAAAGAGAAGAATGAAGATCACTTTTCAAGGATAATTTCAAATACATTTAAATGAAAAAGGAATTCGAATTTAAATGGATTCAAAATGTTTCGATGGCGAAGGATATCAAGAAAAAAGTAGAAGAATGGAATGAACAGGAAAATATATATAAGTTCGTAGATACAGTATTGATGTAGTGATATAATACATCAAACAAGGAAGGACTGAATTGGAGACCACAGAAACTCCCATTTTCACCACCATAGAAGAAACATGGACAACATCCGATGCCATGCTTAAAAAACTCAAAGCTTTTGCCATGTTGCGTTACAGGAGAATCTTATAAATTTGATGGATGCCATGTAATGAAAATGTGTTAATTCAAATAAAGAAAGCAATGTAAAAACCATTAAAACCTGAAGATTAACGTACTTTTTTACGAGAGCCAGAAAAGTATAGCTTTTTACATTTACTGATGCAAGGAAAAATATTCAGAATAGTATGTTCAGGAAAAAGAAGAACATCGTGGCTTTGAAACCTGAGAGAGTGTAGGCACAAACAACTGAATCTCTTCTCCAGGTAAGAAGTTGAAAACATGATGATCACCAATATGTTAAATTAACTTTCACTAAGCGGGTAGAACGATCCAAGAGAAGACCCAAATTTCAAGATATACTAAGAATTGGAATGCCCAAGTAACAATTCCTTAACTTTCTGTATGATTGTTCATAAAAAGTTTTTTTTAAACTAGTAGCAACTTTTTCTTTTAGAATAGAAAACATGAAAAACAACAGAACAACATTTATAACTCTTTTTAGAGAATAGAAACAATTTCAATCTGAACTAAAGCATAAACAATGCGAAGAACTGGAAATTACAGATATTTGAAATCGGTTCAATTATTACAACCTAACCCAAACGTAACTAAAAGGTCAAATAGTCCCTGTATCTCTTTGTAATGGGCCGTGTCTATCGACCACGTGACCCTTTCATTAAGTCATTTGGTCGATAAACCTGGTAAATTAGAAAGAGATACAGGGACTGATTTGCGTCAGGTTTCTCTGTCGCACTGGGGGAATACAACTGTATCACAAAAAAATTATTAAAAATCCTTTATAAAAGATATATAATTATATACCTTTTATACGGGATTTTTAAATATTTTTTTTTAATTTACACTATCCGGGTGTCGGAAATATCAAACTCACAATAACAAATGATTGGAAAGAATTGAAAATTGAATTAGGATCACAATATGCTGTTAGCAAGTCTTCGAAAAGAAATAAGTGAAAAAGAATTACTTCAGTAACATATTGGTTGCGTTACTTTGTTTTCATTTACTACTTGCAATGACAGTTAAAAAGAGTTTCAATTTTAAAACACGTTTAGTTTGACGTATTCTAGATTTTCACTTCGGAAATAGTTTTCACAATACAAATTTATTAAAGTTAAATTTTTATTAAATTTATAGTTTATTCGTCTTCCGGGTTTGGACCGTGTCATTTGTGAGTGAGTTTCGCTACAATTGTATGTAGCTTCTTCAGGAGAACAAAGAAAAAGAAATCAAAAGACAGGAAGATGGGTAGTTAGCAACGGTAACTCAGTTACTCAACGCAACCAGAGGCGAAAAATAACTACCAAGATGGGCATTTGGTCACAGTAACTCAACTACTTAACGCAGCCAGAGGTGAAAACCAAATGCCAGGACAGGGATTCACGTCCAACAGCTCAGAACACTAACGCGTCGAGAGGCGGGGAGTGAATCCCTGCCCTCCCCTGTGAAGAGGATTCACTCCCCGCCTCTTGACGCGTTAGTGTTCTGAGCTGTTGGACGTGAATCCCTGTCCTGGCATTTGGTTTTCACCTCTGGCTGCGTTAAGTAGTTGAGTTACTGTGACCAAATGCCCATCTTGGTAGTTAGTATTCGCCTCTGGTTGCGTTGAGTAACTGAGTTACCGTTGCTAACTACCCATCTTCCTGTCTTTTGATTTCTTTTTCTTTGTTCTCCTGAAGAAGCTACATACAATTGTAGCGAAACGTCGAGATGAACCCACTTTTGGGTCACTCACAAATGACACGGTCCAAACCCGGAAGACGAATAAACTATAATTCTGACTCTGGCCGTGGAAGCCTACGATTTCATTTGTATTAAATTTGTATTGTGACAATGATTTCCGAAGTGGAAATCAAAACGTCAAAATAAATGTATTTTAAACTAAAATTGTGGTTAATTCTATTTGATGGTAGTAAATAATATTAAAATGCCACAAGAAAAGATCTGAACAATACTGTTCCCATTTATTATCTAGCTTTAATTCGTCCTTTTTTTCTTTATTATCCAAATACATTACACCTTCAGTATTATCAAAATTTCGAGTACACAGCACAAAACTGACGTGTTTATTTCAAAAATAACAAATATATAGTCAAAAAACTGCTTTATTGTAAAATTTGAACATTGCTCAATCAAATATTGATTGATTTATTTAAAAGAAAGGTACAGTTCTCCAAAACTCAAAATAAATATCTAAACCTCGCTATTTTTACACTGGATCACGCACTCTTCATTTTGCGCAGCTTCGTCGACGTCTTCGTCTAAAGTTTCTTCGACTGAACAGCTCAACGAGCTGCTGGTGGTGCTCAACTCGTCCAGGAAGTCGAAAGACGCCACAGCCTCCTTTTCCTTGGAGCCGTAGCGGACGTAGAAGTCAGGTCTGCCGATAATCGTGGGTCGGTTGAGAGGAAGTCCGGCCCTGACGACGGCCAGTTCGGGCCTGGCGGCGTTGGCTACAAGCATTTTTTTCACACTGTAGTCTCCGTCATTGGCGTGCACGGTGCCGAGGTGGAAGCTTTAAAATCCCCAACATTTTTACTGAGGTACCCAGCTTTTTGCTTGGGTCGGGGGTTTGTTTACTGATATTCTTTTTTCATGAGATACTTATGTACATATGTTGTGACTGTTTAAGCAGTGAGTTAGTTTTGGACATATATTATTGATACTTTAAACATTTAAAATAAGATCACCAGAACTATTGCCAAACTAGAAAGAATATTAATATATAGTATAGAGCCACTGAAAAAAATTGTAATTGTCATAGTCCGTGAAATTACACAAATATACATATGGGTAGTAGCCTAGCGATTATGGTGAATTATGGTTTGACATTGCCAATATTTTATTCTCTAAAGAAAAGTATTTGTAAATAAATTTGGGTTATACTTTGAATTCTAAGCATGGGGGTGACCATAGACAATACAAGATCAAGATAAACTGGTCATTGGAATACCAGCCCGTTTCCCAGTACGAAAGAGAAAACTGTCACAAAGCAGTCACATTTATCGTTTATCGACCACATGACCTAAATGACCAATGAAAAGATCACGTGGTCGATAAATCTGGCCCATTAGACAGACGTTCAAGGATTGCTTTGCGTCAGTTTTCTCTGTTGCACTGGGGAACGCCACTCTATTGCAGCAGTCAGTCTATCTTGTATTGTATATCTATGTGGGTGACTAACTATCTAAAATAAGAAACGGTTATTTCATATCCTGCTTCAATTACATTTTTTCCGTGGCTATATTTTATACGTTTGTTCGACTTGGTATTTGACACTGCATTCAGCATCGCACTCTATTCCAAGAATCGTCATTCTTGAATCGTTATAACATCTTGTGAATAAAACGATAAAACGAATGATTATTGGAATTCGTTTGGATATAAAATAATAAATAAGAAAAAAAATAAATTTACAATTGCGTCAAAAACGTAAGTGTAAGCGAAATCCATTAATAGAATAAACCTAAATCCAAAAAGGTAAATAATAGACCAGGGACTAACAATTTTCGCATGACTCTCGTTGATACAGATATCTAAAAACTGCTTTTGATAAATTTATTGATAACAATATGTAATAAACATATTACGCAAAGTATTAAACGTCATTTTTTAGTTATAAACAATATATAAACAATATAAGCTTGTGACGTTTCAATTTCTTCAAATTTAAAATCTTCTACGAGCCTGTATTTTCAGTTAACTCTGTCTAGAAATTATTATTTTTATCGCTTCGAATACGTCAAGTGTGTGTACTTAAAAGTTCCCCTTTTCGTAATAAATTATGTTTGCGGTTAGAGTATTTCTAATTCCCCATACACACTTACACGTTTATCTCTTAAAGTCCACTTTAAGCTGTTGAAACAGTGTCCAAATGCTGTTTCAACATGGATTTGTATTTTTGGCTGTTCATCATGTCTTCGATTGGTACTAAAGATCCAACTCAAAACATTTTTTTGACGGGATGTTTTACGGTTTGTTCAATATGAGCAGGTGTAAGGTTTTCATTGTCAAACTTCCTGACTAATTTTGACCGCTGTCCTTGAACTATAAAGTAAGTTTCATGTGTAAATAGGACTCTTTTCTTAGTTTCTTGATTTGTCCAGTTAGAAGCTGTTTTTCTGTAGACGCATTGCCTTCTACTATTCTCCAAATGTCTTTTCCGAACAGTTGAGTCATGAATCACTACACTTGATGCTACTAGATCTTGTTGGAGTTCTTGGCTTGTTTTTATTGACTCCAATTTGCTCTTTCGAAGTGAAAATCTTTCATCTGCTGGTGTTGATTTTCTCTTTCCTGACGAATTTCGACAGCTGTCCCTGAACAATAAACTGAGTTTCATCTGTAAATAGTATCATCCAGTTGTCTATAGTCCAATTAGAGTATTTTTGGCCCACAATAGATATAGTTTTTTCATTCGTTCAGTTAGAAGCTGTTTTTCTGAGGAGTCATTGCATTTCAATTTTGCAATAACTGTTAAGTGAAACTTCTTGAAATTTTTATAGCTGAATACATGTTACTGTCTCTATTATCTAGCAAAATTAAAGTTTTTTATGCATTTTTAAAAAAGGTGTTATTAATTTTTAAATAATCGACTTGTGAAGCTAATTTTGAATTGTTAAGCAACAAATTAACAAAAATAACTTTACAAACTTTTATTTTAAAGTATTTTCTATGATTTTTAAGTAAAATGATGTCACTTTTCCATATAAATTACAGGTCTTCAATTGTAGTGTTTAAAATGAAATAGCATTCCTCAATTGTTTATATATTGTTCATAAGTAAAAAATGACGTTGAATCTTCTGCATATTTTGTTTATTCCTTATCGATATCCCCAAATTTATCAAAAGCAGTTGTTAGATACCTGTATCAACGAGTGTCACAACAAAAGGCTTTTATTTGCTAATTTCTCTGTCTATAACTATAAATACCTAGAAATATGGGTCAAAACAGCAATAACCAAGATAAAGAAATAAAATTCCGAATTAAAACTTTAAGACAAAAATTTTTAAACAAAAAAAAATGAAAAAGTGTCACAACCAACAAAGGCCCTTGCCCCTGAGAATAGGTGCACTATACTACATAAGATATCGTGTATTTTCCAACTTCAGCTGTTGGAACCAGGAACTCAGCCAACTTTCGTCAGCTGTACGAAATGGAAAGTTGGGCAATGAAGACAGAACACATAAAGAAAATTGAATAATGAATAATAAAGAAATTAATCGAAATGTGGTATTTAGAAAATATTTCGTCGACTAAGCAAATAATTAGAAATTATAAAAAGTATCAATAGAAGGAAATTGAAATACCTGGTACCTACCAAAACAAGTGGAGAAAGAAGAGCTACTTAAAATTATTATGCAAGCAAGAATTAGGAAGAGGAGCATAGGAAGAAATCGTTTTTTTTTTTGGGAGGGAAATCTTAGGAAATGGTTCAACTGCAGCTCACTACAGTTGTTTCTCCGATAAAAGTAAAAACTTTAAGACAAAAATGATATTTCAATGTTAACACTTTCGAACTTGCTATTACTTCCAGTTTCTGTCAGCTCCTTTCGGTCTTATTTTAAGTGAATGTTTAAAAGTATAAATTAATGGAATCCTTTTTAGGTTTACTTTATACCGTAAAAACAATAAAAGATATGCCCCAAAACAATTTTACTTTATGATTTTACTTTACTTTATGATTTTTTAATTGGCGAAGGCTACAACTAAAAAATATGAAAGAAAGATTGAAGTAGTAAATAGAGAAGAAATTAGCAGACATTTTCTTTACTCATAATTTCATTCATAATTAGCTATTAATTTATTGTTAGCTAACGTATAACTCTTTAAAATGATTCTTTTTTTTATCTATTAGAAACAAAAAATAATTAATAAATAACGAAAAAAAAAATGATCTAAATTACTACGTAACATATGTAAATTATCTTATCTTTTATATTAACTACAATCTAATATATTGATTATTACACTTTGTTTGGTAAGTATCTATTAACATTTAATGTAGGTTAGGTTAAGTTTGATCTGGAAACAACGTTTTGATACCAGTTTTCATTTGAAACGCAAAAATCTCATTTTAGGTTTAGTCAATAATATCTAGTTGGACGGTTTTATCTATAAAACTTTCTTTTTATTCGTCTTTTGATTCGTACACTTTTGTTCTCTGCAAAAACCATCTGAACTGACGATATGGGTTATAATTAGTCTTTACTATAGCGCACTTTTATTTTAATAGATCCTTAATCTCAAGTAAAAGTTGGCAAGAAGAGGTTATATTTTGAAACTATCACACTAGAATTAATTTTTCTGCCATACAATCGACACTTTTTGAAATCTTTTAAATTTGGGATGATTTAGAAAATGTTTTCATACTTCCAGAACACCTCGAATATATGGCCAACAGAAAATTCACAAGCCCGATATTCTTCACAAGTACTTGGCCAAAACTCTACAACCTTTCGCCGAAAATGCTTCATCCTTCGTCAAAATTTCTTTTGGTTTCATCGAACTTCTTAATCAATACTCTATCTCACCGCCAGACATTCTAGTAAGTTTCGATATCATTCCACTCTTTACAAACATTCCTAGAGACAAAACTATAAACATTCTGAAAACTGAATACAGTATCCAGTAAGATTACTTCATCATCACAGTCATTAACATCTTAGTAGATGTGTTGTGGTTCATAATTGGGCTTCAGCAGCTCGGACAGTTTGATTGATAATATTTCTCCACTGGTCGCGGTCATCAGTTATACGTATTGCCTCAGTATACTGTTTATTGAGAAGCTTTTTAGTAATGTCCGCCCATCGCTGTGGAGATCTTCCGCGTTGGCGTTGAGTCTGAGGCCTTCCTTGGACCACCAACCGCTCCATTTTGTGATCACTTCGATGGATATGGCCAAAGTACTTTAAAATTCTGGAGTAAACGGTACTGGAGAGACGCTGATCCGGTTTAATTTCATCCAGAACCGAGATATTTGTACGGCGAGCCGTCCATGGAATTCGAAGCAGGCGTCTCCATGTCCACATTTCAAAGGCGTCTATACGTCGTCGATTTGATTCTTTGACTGTCCATGTCTCGCATGCATAGTAAAATATGGAAAAGACCAGAGTTGAAACGAGTCTCTTTTTGTTTGTCATAGTAATGTGACGATCACGCCAGATCCCGTTTAGTTCACTCATTGCTGCTCTTGCTAGTTGAATTCGTCTTCTAATTTCGGATTCACAACTGCCTGTGTTGTTAACTAGAGCTCCAAGATATATCATAGATGAGACTACCTCGCATCCCGCAATAGTTTGGGTTTCAGGAAACTGTTGTTGGCGATCAATAACCATGATTTTGGTTTTGTTGTAGTTAACCATGAGTCCAAATTTAGCACTTTCTACCTCAAGTTTTTTTAATAATTTAGTAATTTCTTCTGGAGTAGAGGCTAGAAGTGTAGTGTCGTCTGCGAAACGCAAGTTAGATATCTTAACACCACCTAGGTTTACTCCTCCCTCCCAACCATCCAA